TTCTATCCTCATGTCCTATCCTTGTAGAACCTTCTCTGCAACCAGACAACTTCTAGGGCAGGCTGGGTTACCGGGGTTGGGGGTATTCCCAAGGACACAGGGTTTTCATCATTCTTACTTAAGGTCTCCATTTGTGAGGCTGAGAGAGATCAGTTTCATACAGATGAAATATTACTGAAGTCTCCTTTGCCTGATTAATTAGTAGCACAATGTTTGAGAAGGCATAACGTATCAGTCACATGACCAACAAGAGTAATCAGAGCCCAATAAAATTTGTTGATGTCTTGTATACCAAGCACTACTCTAAGCGATTAGTGTTTATACATTTACATAGTCACAAATCACAGAGGATATGCTATGTATACCGTTATTCTGTAAGTGGGGAAACTGAGGCTTAGAGAAGTTACGTTTCATATTCTATTTTATTATTCCAAGTAATTTATCGGAGACCATGCAGTTGGCAAGAAGCAACTGAACGGCTCAGATCACAGTCAGGATCACTGGGCTTGCAGTTCTTAATTCTCGGTTCTGATATATCGGAAATCCAGCCCAACTCCTGTGATGGTTACAGGCAATGCCACAGGAGACACACCTGTGGGTGATTGTGAAGGCATCTCCAGAGGGACTTACCTCAGGAGGGCAGGCTCACCCTCAGTGTGAGCAGACCAGTACATGTGCTAATATCCTAGACTGAATAAGGAGAAAGCAAGGGTGAGTTGAGTGCCATTGTTCATCCCCCTCAGCCTCCTGAATGCTGGGGCACTGTGCCTACTGGGCCTCATACATCACATGGCTTTGAAGTGGAGAGTGCAGGGCACAACTCTCAGGAGGAGGTTCACTCTTTCCACTATGGATTCTGGGGATCAAACTTGGGCCATTGGGACCAGTGACAAGCACTTTTACCAAATGGGTCAACTTGCAGGCCCTAAAGAGACATGTGGTTTGGGGGGGGGGAATTACTTTCTACTTTTTTTTAAAAAGTGCTCAATAATTCTGAAATGAAGAAAATCAAAACTTGTCATGCTTCTGCATAGAGGCATTTCAATGGAAGACTGCCTTACAGCTGACTATAGCGCGCATGGCCTCATTACATTAAAAGCAAAAAAGATGTTCTCTGCCAAGAATTTAACACTGTATAATCTTCTTAGCTATGTCAGTTTTCCTGAGTCCTCCAATTATACCATTTAGAAAGAAAAAGGTTTCCATTTCTTATCACCGTTTGAACAGGCCAGGGAAACATGAGTTAAAAGGAGCTCTCTGTTGCTTGCTGCTTTGTAATGGGGCCTTCATTAAAACATGGCTTGTCTTTATAAAGAGGGAAGAGAACATTCTTTCTTAAAACAAATATTAACTAAGTGTGAAGAGACACAAATTACACTATAAACACAAAGGCAAAACCCATGGTAATTTAAGAAAATGTTCATTTTGCCTCTATATTCATAAACTCATCATTGTCACCTTAAACAATGACACCTTAGCATCACACAGCCACATGGCACAAGGGACAGTGCATATTGCACTGCACAGTCAGGGTTCTTCTCTGACTGCTCTCAAGTCCGTTGAAATGGCACTAGGATCAACAAAATTAAAGGCACCCTGCATGACAAAGAAAGGGCTCCAAGAAGGTAACAGATTTCAATTCAGACTGAAATAACAGAAAAACACTCCACAGATGTAACAAACCACACATGTTGGTGGACATCTATAACCCAAGCATTTGGGAAGAACATTAAGTTTGGAGATCTGCCTGAGCTACAAAGTGAGATCTTACCACAAAAAAATGAACCTAAAGTCATAAAACTGTTTTGCCATGGAGAGTAAGATGAGGCTTTAGTACAGACTGATCCTTCGCAGATCTAGGTGCCCTGTCAAGAGCGCCATGCTGGAGAGCTACGTCAGGACACAGAAGGGATGACTAAACACAGGCATGTTACATGGAGGCATGTGATAGGCCACCTTGATCCAAGAAGATGGATTTATAGCTCAACCCTAAATGTAATAAGGTTTTTCAGTGCCAGGCATGAGATACCGCTCTCTAAATTATTGGTCAGGAAGGTCCCTGTGGTCTCCAAAACAACACAAGCTATTGACACTGACTGTGGTTAACTAAACACTAAGACCCTATTGCCGACAACACCACACATTTTTGCTGCAGGACACGGAGAAATCTATCTCGAACTGGCCAGGGTCCTTCCTCCCTACTTGTTAGCTTTCATAGTGCCAGGAGGTGCTGTGAGGGGTGCTGCAGGAGAAAGGGTATGAACAGCCGTACTGGACCAGTACTGGACCCTGCATGGTATATTAACCTAATAGGCAAGAGTACAATAGCCTGGTGCAATATTGGCATGACTGTTACAGGGTAACCAACCACTTTCTGATTGGTATCTGTGTTCCACAGAAAGAAGTTCATGCCTGGAACTGTAAACCTGGTGAAAAGCCCATGGCTAAGGAGGTCATAGGCCCCAGGGTAGAACATACTATTGTTATTTTAATAAATGGTCATGCTATCAAATTGTCTTCTAAGTATTTATGTTTGTACCGATAGATCTGTGATGCAGTCAAACTTAGAAAAGCTTCTCTTTGCAATAACTGGCCAAAATGGTGTGAGTTCTCAGTTCTAGATGAGACATCCTTACCAACCCACTTCCTTCCCCGGCTGCACAAGGCTGAGTGTATCTTGGGATAGAAAGTGGAAATGATGCATGAGATGCTGTCTTCTGGACATTACGTGGATGCTGTGGTTTCCTACATGAATCTTGCACAAGAACAAGCCAGCCAGAACTCCAGCACCAACAGAGGATGGGGTCTCAAGGCCCCATTCCTAACTGAGGAGCTACTGGTAGTTAACAGTTGCTGGAGAAAGGAGATTTATTCTTCTTTGGGCATGCGGCTACAACTAAGTGATTAAGTTGCCCATGGTCTAGTGGACAGCACCACACTCATGTGCATATGAGCAGCACTCATCAGGTTAATGGGTTATTTTTAAAAAGGATGGCATGAAGTTAAAATGGAGATAGCTGAGGGGGTTGAAGGGAGTTGGAGGGAGAAACAGAAGGTGGATGTGGTCGTATCTCATTATATCACATATAAAATTACAAAAGACTAACTTTTAGACTGTGGGATTCTTCTGTCTCATCATCTGTGGCTCATCTGTACTGCAGGACTCCGTGCTGCAGAATCCTCTATAACCCCTGCAAAGGAGCAGACCTCGGCACCCGTGTGGGGATGTCTCCAGC